GTCCACCTATTTTTATCTTTTTAATTCCCTGTTTGGAAATGGAAGAATCAAGAAGTATCGCTCGGTACGCTTCATCCGGATATTCCGAAATATCCGAGGCACTCGAACGGTTAAGAAGCGCGACTCGCAGCGAACCGAGTGCCAACGAAATCGTATCGCGCTCCGGTTAATCCGTGCACCGATTTTTCGAGCAACCCGGTCCACGGAGTGCCGCGACTCCGCGGCGAAGTAACGTCCCGTTAAACGAGCGCCGCCGGTGAAACAGAAAGGAAGCGAGATGACGGAGAAACGATGGCAATAACGAGTTAATAACGAGTCGCCGTCGCTGTAACGCGATCCCGCCGCGGGCATCACGGACCACTCTCATTAATACCGCGGACGTCCTGTCGTTCGTTTGCCTGATTCTTCGTTCTCCGCGGGCGTTCGTTTCGAGCTCGGTCACGCGACCCGTTCGTACGAACTTCGTACCCGAATCCGTTCGACATTGTACAATTCCAACGAGCAGTCGATTTCACGGTTCTAGTCTTTGTGTATTTTTCCTTCCTTTTCTCGTATCGTTCCTCTGTTTCTCTCTTCGCGATTTTTCACGGCAAGGGATTTTTCGCGATTTTTCACGATCCTTCGCTCGTCGGATCGATACGGCGAGGAATGGAGGTGCGCGCGTGTCCGTGGATTGTTCCCAAACCCGTTCTCGCTCGAGGATCGGATGAAATCGCGACGCGTTTATCAAAATTATTGGTCGAGATTGCTGCCATGCGTCTCGGATGAGAATGCTGGCGGAAGGAACGCGGCTCTAATTGGTCGGTGTATGTTCGGTTTCGTCTCGTTTTCGATGTGAACGTGTTATTCGACGCGATCGAAACTGTAAGCAGAACTATAAACACCAGCACTCCCCTGTGAGACGCGTAGTGTACACGCTGCACGATCGGAAGTTCCTGTGGGCGGGCTGGGAAAGAAAAACGCGGCGGCTCGATAGAATCGGTGGAAAAAGAAACGTATACGTCAATTAGAAAAGGAACGATTGCCGATCAGCGTCTAGCTTAAATGCGCGAGACCGATTCGCGAGAACGTGTCGCGATCGCGACGCTTTCTCGCGAACCGTTCGCGCGCGTTTCACCTCGAACTGTTCGTCAAACGATCGTCCGGTTTCCGGCATCCTTGATATACTATCACGATATTACTCGCGCAACAGCGTTCGCGACTCTCGTGATAGACTCGACATTCAAACTCCAATCTTCCTCGTCGGCAGTTACACGCCGCGCGCGTTCCGCGGGAAAAGCTTAACATCGAGAAAAATATGGGGGTATTATACTATATATCTCCTACGCGTCGCTCGGTCGAATTCGAAACAGTTTTCAAACTCAGCGGCGGATTTCGGTGTCGGGGGTCCGGGCAGTGGAACGAAACAAAGCCTTGTATTATTCATTTGACGAATGCACCGATGCCTGCGATTCCGCGCGCAAAACCTGCGCGGGAGAATCGATGAAAATGAAAATTTGTTCGGTTAAAGGATTATTACGCGAATGAAATGTAGAATAACGTTCTAATATCCTGGCTGCCCAGTTCGCGCACCGTTCGATCCGCCGCGATTCGTGCTGGGAACGCGACCTCCCTCGACGCGGCTCCGCGACGTATTCGTTCCCCGAAAGATTACGGTAGAACCTCGCTTAACGGAACACGTCGGCGACGAGTCTGTTCGGATAATTAGAAGCTAACCAACTGTCTCCGACTCCTGAACTTATTTGTTTCGATGAAAGAGCTCGATCTCCGCCGACGTTCGGAGAATAAAGTTCGTTTAAGAAGACGTTTCACGTTTTTGCTCGTTTCCAACGTATAAAAGCTCGCTTACACCGAGCTACATTCCGAACACGGACGCAAGCGCACGCATAGAATAGGCACGGGTTCGTGTAACAGCGAGTGCGCTCGGCGGTAGTCGAAATAACAGAGATTCGGTTAAGAGTTCATATGTTAGGGGCTCGGCATTTACTGGTTCGGATAAGCGAGGTTCCGCCGTCTCCCGTTTCCGTCGCCACGAATCGACGAGTGACGACCGGCGAACGGCTACGAGCAGGCGGTGGCTCGGGGAGGGGGAGAGGACGACTCGATCGTTTTTAATACGGCGCGGCCGCGTTATCCGATTCGCGCGGCGTGATTTACCGTCCTCCTCGGCGATCGGATAGATTCCCACCCTCTTCCCTCCTTTCTCTCCCCCATTTCTCCCTGGCCGTATTTGTTTTTTGTTTCGTTGCTTGTTTCCTTTCGTTCGCGTTTTACGATCCGAGCCGAGCGTCGGAACGTTATTTACACGGCGAACACTCGTATGGCACGTCCCATTGAAACGGGACCACGGTTCACCCTTCGTTCCCACCTCTTCCAACCCCCGGCCGACCGGCCGCTCTCGCGTTTCGGGCGTGCCGATTAAATCACGGGACGCGGGCGGTCGGCTCGTGTCGCGTCCGCGAATAAAAACGACCGAATCGACGGATAAACTTTGCGAAATAGTTTGTAATAGGCCATAATCCCTAGTCGTAAAAGTATGAAATGTATCAACAAATCTAAAAAAAGTTCCCTCGCTCAGCCGGTTAGGCGATATTCTCTTTCTCTCGCGCACAATATACGCACAGACGCACAGACGCACAGACGCACACAGGCACACACACGCTTGCAGAGACATACGTACTCGTTCGCTTCTTCTCTCCGTTGCTCTCTCGTTCTGTTCCTTTCTCGCTGTCCGCTTCCAATACGCGGCCTCGCGCAACAGTTACGGATCGTTCGCTAGAGGACTCGTTAGATTGCCTAAAAATTTCGCGTTTTACAACACAGCGCGACCCGGCCGGTGTTTTCCGGTGGACGGGACCGATCGCGAGCGCCAGCGGGACGCGAATAAACTTTCCAATGAAAACAACGACCCTGGTAATTGCACGAAAGGAAATGATTGCACTATAGAAAAATAAACTATTCGAAGACGGGCGCGTCGTGTGCGCTGCTGGGCGAAGGTCAAAGGGGAATAGTGTTCGTGGCCGGTCGCGCTCGGTCCCGCGGGCGACCGCGGTCGTTCCTTTTCTTGACTAAAGGCGAAGAAATCGATATAATTTAATTAATAATTGACAGATAACCAATTAATACGTATAGGACGGCCCCGCGGCAAGAAGGCGTAAATTCCTAAGATTCAAACGACATAAACTTTTCTAATTTTAACATCGCCCGGGCCGTCCAGTACATTGATTGTAATTACTTCCCGCAGTATACTTCGTTAACCTACTATTTCTTTATAATAGAAATCATGTGTAATCTGTATGTATAAGATCTCTCTCCTCCTATCGTTTCTCCTTACGTTTCGGCATGGCCTCGCGCCGTGACATGTTGTGTGTACGCGCTTCGATGCAACTACGAACGAACTAACGAGCTTCACCGATCGCGCGCCAACCCTCTCGGCACCTTGCAATTTCTTTACGCATCGCTGAAAAATACCTTGGAACATATGTATTTCAGAAGACACCTTTCAAAGTGAACGTGTTTCGAAGTCTAAAAGTTCATTCGATTGAAACCAATCTCTCGGGTATAGACTATAATTCCACTAAAAATTATAAAGCCGATGCATCGGCTGAAGGTATCTCTCGCAAAAATCGCAAAGCCGATATATCGGCTCTACGATACCAACAGAGTTAACACCGGGTTTACGGAGACTGATTGCACAGCTTACTCTATCGTTCCTAAAGAAACCGATGTTCGTTCGTCCGGATCCTGAAATAAGAAATTTGAAAATAGACAATCGCGATACGCATTCGTAGAATCGCACTGATGAAAATCGAGCGAACGGATTCGCAAAGTCCGATACGCGTCGAACGGACGCGCTCCGTAAACCCAGGGTGAAACGCGCGTCCGCGAACCTCGCCTCCGTCCTTCTCCGCGAGTCTGTACAGTTCCGCCAAGCAAATTACACATGTACATGTTACGCGTGTTCGCGCGCGCGCGCGCCTTGAACCTCGATTCGGCGCGCGCGACTCGGTTTCACGCGTTCCGAATGGGAATTTCGAAGAACACATTTTCCCTGTCCCTCACACACGAACACACACACGCGCGTACTTTCTCTCTCTTTCTCGCTGCTTTAAATAGTTAACAGTAACGTCAGCATGAACATTGTACAGAGTGATTGATGTACAATAAGCCGGACTTCCGGTGGACAGTTCCCGTTGCCGGGGCGCGCGCTCCGTCGACGAGGCTGCCCGACGTCGCCGCCTCGGGGACGCACGGCCGAGCGACGTGAGATTCTTAGAGGACGCTTACAAGTACGATAATACTACTCTGTACGGTCTCGCTCGGGGCCGGTCGCGTGCCCGCTCGCGCGACGTCGCGAACGAAGGAACTGATCGTTTCTTGACGACGGACCGCGCGTGTGGTCGGCCGCGGAATGTGGGAACGAGTCCTCAATAGGAAGGAAGTATCGTTTGCGAATACTGATTCTATTTCTTTTTCTTCCGATCTTCGACGAACGGGGCGCGAGCCGTTCGGGGGGGAGGGAACTGTCCGCCAGGACGCTCCACACGCAGAGTCGGATATGCACAATAGTGTATCTGTTACCTTCCTCTCTCTCTCTCTCTCTCATTTTTTTGTAATCTTTTGTCCACAGTTATAAAACTACCTAAGTCTTACGAGATACGGTGAGCAATAATTCCAGTTATTTACAGAAATTATGTTACAGACGCCGCAATATAAAGATATCCTC